CGGGCGGGGGAGGGGAGCGCGCTGTCCCGAGGTGTCAGGCTGAGGCGCATGCGTGCGGGGCGGGCCCGGCCCGGCCTATATATTGGGTTGGCGCCGGCGCCAGCTGAGAGCCGAGCGGTAGCGGGTCTGGCGGTGAGGAGGTGCTGGGTGCCGGGGCTGCGGGAGGAAAGAAAGCCCCGCCGGGCCGATCCCTCCCGCAGGCGGGAGGGCTGAGAACCAGGTGGCTGGGGGCCGTGGGTCCCCGCGTTCCGTCCCTGTCAGGACCCTTGGCAGGAGGCTGGGGGGCGGCGGCGGATGGGGGCCGCCCCTAAGTGGGAGCCACGGAAAAGCCCCTCATTCTGGGGGCTCCTCTCCCACCCTCCTCTGGGAAGCTCTCCTGCGGGGGAGAGGATGTGGTCTGGGTCCCCTCCCCGGGGAGGAAGGTTCCCGACCAGCCCCGTCTCCCCCGATCTTTCCTCCCTTTTCTCTCCCCGGCCCCCCATCTGGAGCTGGGGTCCCGGTGGCCCCCGAGCGGCGGGCAGGACCCGACAGGGCCGGGGAGGAGGGAAGGGGCTGGAGGACGTGACACCAGTCTCAGTTCCCTCCGCCCCCTGCTTCCCCGCCACTGCCGCGCTCCAAATTGGCGCGGAACCGGCTTCTCCACAGCTTTTCGCCTCCACAGCCCCCTCTCCGCGCTCGTCCAGCACGGGAGGGGCGGCGGGGGCGCGGGCCGGGCCCCGCTGCGGGTGTGCGGAGGCCGGGGTGGAGGACCCAGAAAAACCCGTTTGGGGGGGAGATGTGCCTCCCTGCGCGTTCAGGGTGCCGGGGGTGCTTTGTGAATTCTGGAAGACACCCGCGTCGCGGCTGTGCCTTCCGTTGAGGAAATGCAAGCACGCGTCCACGTTAATTACCACGAGAGGACGCATATCGACAGAAGGCGGCGTGGAAACACGGCCCGGGCCGCCTTCTGAGGGACGTGACCCCGAGTCGGCGTCTGACGGGCACCTGGACAGCATGAATGACAATGTACTTGACTCGTGTTCCCTCTCCCCCCTTCAGAGGTTCCACACACCTGGAAGAAGAGAATGTCAAGACGAAGGTAACATTGTTTGTCTGGGAGACGTGTTTCAAAATTAACTGCTACCTTTGACTTACTAGTTAAACTTGCTTCTTAAAAATTCCCCACAGTAGCCGTTTACAAGCTAAGCAGCAGCCCCAGCCCGGCCCGACGGATTCCCCGCAAGAAAGCCAGATAATCCAGGCCAAGAGGAGGAAAACAGCCCAGGTGCTTTAAAGAGAAAAGAAAGCGGGAGGGAGGAAATTCCTTGCTGGGACCTTAGTTTACCAGTGCTCTCTTTTATATTCCAGGATGTCAAAAAAGGAAAAGAGGAGGTCACCAAGAAACATCAGTATGAAATTAGGGTAATGCGGAACTGGGTTTGGGTTTGGGTTTGGGGGAAAAATGCAGGATAGACGAATAAGAATGGAATTGTGTGTTTATTGCTTTGCAATAGAGATTCCTCTGCTCCTTTTACTTTTCATGCCCCTAGAGGTCAGCAGGAAGGCGCTTATTTTTGGGTGGTTTATATGTGCCTGGATTCTACTACAGCTGCAGAGTAAGTGTGCCTTGAAGCAGCTGGTTCCTTTTTGTAAATCCCTCCCTCTTGGAGCTGCCTGGTGCACCAGGGCCCGCCTAATCTGTCCGATATACTGCTCTTTGTTCCCTCGCAGTCTACAGTAGAGGATCCTAATAGCTGCTTCTTGGGCATAAATAGGATGTGAGATCACTGACAGCCTAACACCCAGCCCCTTGCTACCTCTTCTTCCTGTGTGTTGTACAGAAGGCACTTTAGAGACAAGCGATTCCCTTTGAAACCAGCATTACTGTGGAGAGGAGCCTGAGTAGCTGATTCCCCTTGATTCCATTTCTAAGGTTTTGCCTTCAAGTATTCAAAAGTATCAGAGGAGGCTTAACTTAAAAAAAAGATTTTTTAAAAAGGGCTTAAAAAATATTGCTGCTACTGCTAGATACAAATGCTATTTTATGATCTTGAAAGAGGTTAGTATTTTAGACTACAGATGTATTTTGTTATTACTCTCCTCCTCCAATACTTAATGTCTTTTATTACCAGAATTGCATCTTGTTACCTAAAACATACTGTTGCTGTTTCCAAAAATTGACATGAGTTATATGGCTTATTTATAAAATATGGGTGTCAAATTAGCTAATTATCAACTATGTTAGCTAAAACTATAGACTGTATAGATATAATTAGTTTTCATTTATGAAAGATTTGATAAAAGCTAAGGTTTCCATTACACAAATATTCTTTTTCTTTTCATGACAGAATTGTTGGCCACCTGTATTATCCGGGGGGGTCAGTCCTTGCATTATCATTGAAACACCCCACAAAGAATTAGGAACAAGCGACTTCTCCAGATTTACAAATTATAGATTTAAAAATCTTTTTATTAATCCATCACCTTTGCCTGATTTAAGGTAAGAAAAATTTTGGTAATTTAACATCAAAGATTAAAATTGGTCTTACTGATTTAGTGCATGTCACTATTTTATCTTTTACCTTCATTATAAAACAGAAAAACTTGTAAAGATTGCTTTCTTTACTAATAAACACATAATTTTATCTGAGAGTAATGCTAATTGCACATGATATGGTATTTAAAATATTGATTCTATAAAACTTTTATTTGCTTGCTGAGTACTGTAAGACTTAGCAGGAGTTACTTTTTTAATGGAGTTTAATTTGTCTAAATTGTTAAGATAGAAGCATTTTAACATGTACAACTTTTTTTTTTCTATTTTAAAATTTATACCCTTGTTTCTTACCTTGAGGCTTAAACTCAAAGGAAGTTTTAAAATTGATGTATCAATCCTATTTATCTCTTACCACACTTAGTAAGGTCTATACTATACTTATTCTTTTTCTAGTCCATTAGTATGACTAAGAGGTAGTTTTTTGTTTTGTTGTTTTTTTAGTTGGGGTCTCTGCCACCCAGGCTGGAGTGCAGTGGCTCGATCACAGCTCACTACAGCCTTGAACTGCTAGGCTCAGGCAGTCCCCCCGCCGCAGCCTCCAGAGTAGCTGAGACTACAGGCATGCACCACCATACCACACCTGGCTAATTTTTAAATATTTTTGTAGAGACAAGGTCTTGCTATGTTGCCTAGGCTGGTCTCAAACTCCTGGGCTTAAGCAATCCTCCCTCTTTAGCCTCTCAAAGTGCTGGGATTACAGACATGAGCCGCTGCACCTGGCCAGAGGTACAGTCTATACAAACTTATGTTTGACTTTAATAAGCAGATTAATGGAATCAGACACTTAAACTCACCAGTTCCTCTTCCCTTGTACTCTACCCCCCCTTACCCCCACTATAGGTTCTGCTGCGTTCATACACTTTAAGTATTTAACTTTTTAGTACTGCTCTTGAGAAAACAGTTATCTTTTAACAGCAACTTTGTAAATTATAAATAAGTGGGACTAGAAAGCACTCTTTTGAAATCTGCCAATTTAGGTTGACATAGTCCAGGCTCTCATTGTATTATTTCAGACTTCTGTTTATTTATGCAAAAGAGATGGTTTCTAACAATTATGGTAGAAAATTTTTCCTAATTTAAGAGCTGCTTTCAAAAGTTGAATTTCAGTGTCTGAAAAGCTGAATTTATTCTCTGTGAAACAGATAGCTTTGTATTATGTAGAACACACAATTTAAATTCTTTTCTCCCCCTTTCCATAGCTGGGGATGTTCAAAGGAGGTTTGGCTAAACATGTTAAAAAAGGAAAGCAGATATGTTCATGACAAGCATTTTGAAGTTCTGCATTCTGACTTGGAACCACAGATGAGGTCAATACTTCTAGACTGGCTTTTAGAGGTATGTTCCAGCAATATAAATTTCCTTTGTCTCTGTATGATAGATATTTAGATGTAAATGTGCTTTCCATTGCTAGTGAGCCACCTCTTTTGGGACACTTACTATAGTTGATGGTGCCCACAGTGAAAAATGACTGTAAGAGTAAAATCTTAAGGACAAAACCACTACTACATAACAAAACCCAATTCAGAATTCTTGGCATCTGTGGCTGTTACAGTGCACCAAGCACTCTGTTCTAGGTGCTGAGGATATTCAGAGATGAATGGAATGTAGAGTTGACCAGGTTTTGGATTCTGCTATACAAAGTGAAGAACCACAGCTAGGCTTCAGAACCCTCCGAAGTCCTTGTCTGCATTACCAAAATCAAATTGTGACTAGGAATCCTGATTGCTAGATCCCAAGCCTTAGTGAGCTTAGGATATCTGGAAGCCCTAAGGCCTCTAGGCTCTGGGTAGCCTCTCTTCAACATACACTTCTATTCCTGTCAGAAATACACTATACCATTAATTTCAAGGAATAACTGCAATCCTGAGACCCCTACAACAGGTTCATGTCACAATGTTCTTTCTTGCTTAGGCCATCTTTTTTCTCTGAATAATGACTCTAAAATTAGAGTCTCTAAAGTTATTTTTGAGGAAATGATTACTTGTGTTAATGGCAAACTAATTTTCCTCCAGCCTTGTACATTTACTCTGTAGTCTGTCTTTTTTCTTTTTTTTTTTCCTTTTGAGTTGGGGTCTTACTGTGGCGCCCAGGCTGGAATGCAGTGCCTCTGTCACGGCTCACCACTGTGTCAACCTCCCGGAATCAAGCGATCCCTTCTGCCTCAGCCTCCTAAGTAGCTGGGACTACAGGCGTTTGCCACCACACCCAAGCTAATTTTTTGTGCAGATGCAGTCTCACTATGTTGCCTAGACTGGTCTTGAACTCCTGTGCTCAAGCAATCTTCCTGTCTTGACTTCGCAAAGTGCTGTAATTACAGGTGTGAGTCATCACACGCAGCCTGTCATCTATTTTTAAGGTAGACAGAGATGGGAGAAAGACTGTAAGCTTTTTGGTGGAGTAGCTCATGGCAGAATAGATCTCAGAAGCTATCAGAAACTTTTTTTTTTTTTTTTTGAGTTGGAGTCTCACTCTGTCACCCAGGCTGGAGTGCAGTGGCACGCTCATGGCCACTGCAGCCTTGACCTGCTGGGTGCCAGCGATCCTTTCACCTCAGCCTTCCAAGTAGCTGGAACTACAGGCATGCACTACCACGCCCAGCTAATTTTTTGATTTATTGTAGAGAGAGGTCTCGCCATGTTGTCCAGGCTGGTCTCGAACCCGCAGGCTCAGGCAATCCTCTCGCCTTGGCCTCCCAAAGTCCAGGGATTTTATAGGCTTGAGCCACCGTAGAAACATTTTTAAGACTATAAAATGCTACCATTTTACAGTAATCTTTTTCCTTATTCTGAATAGAAGACAGTATTTTAATCATGTGGGTACAAGAAGACAGTTGGGTTTTGACTTTTTCTGTCTAATGCTCGCAGAATCAAATGAAGCACAATTATGTTAATTTTTAATTTTTTCCTTTTATGTTATGCTGATATTCATCCGATTATCATATCCAGTTTATTACAATTTTCCCTAAGTATGATTAGATATACAAAAATATGCAGAATAAATAAAATCCATAAGTGTTAAACTCTACTTTGTCTTGTATATTCTTTCAATCTGAGAATGCAAACCTGGTTCAACATCTGAAAATCTAATTTATTACCTTAATAGCTTAAATGAGAAAAATCCCAAGAGCTCAATAGATATGAAAGTTTTTTGAAATTCAATATCCATTCTTAAGACACGTAGTAAACTAGGAAGAGATTTTCTTAACATATTGTTTATTAAAAACTTATGCAACTCTGTCCCTCTATTTCCTCATCTCCCAAATGGGGATAATGGTACCTATTTATGGAGTTACTGAGAGAAGTAAAAGCTTTCCGTATAAGCATGGAAATGACAGATATTACTTTATTATTATTATTATTATTAATGACTGCTAAACATTAGGGCAATTCCCACTAATGTCAGAAAAAGATTTTGTGTAACACCATTGTTATTCATTCAGTAGTTGTCTATAATTTTTTTCATGTGTGTGAGTTGGAGTCCCACTGTTGCCCAGGCTGGAGTGCAGTGGCACACTCATGGTCACCGCAGCCTTGGCCTGCTAGGCTCAGATGATCCTTCACCTCAGCCTTCCAAGTAGCTGGAACTACAGGTGCACACCACCATGCCCAGCCAATTTTTTGATTTATTGTAGAGACGAGGTCTCACCAATTTGCCCAGGCTGGTCTCGAACCCCTGGATTCAGGCAATCTGCTAGCCTCTGCCTCCCAAAGTGCTAGAGTTACAGGCATGAGCCACTGCCCTCGGCTTCTTCTATAATTCTTAACCAATGCAGTAAAATATGAAAAATGTGCAAACAACTACAAAACTAGTAAGATTAAATGAGGATGGCAATAGATTTGTTTATCCTGGTAGTACATATTAATTTTTTTTTTTTTTTTGCCTCTCCTATGTTAGCTTTTTATCAGTCTGGCTTAGAAGTATTGTAGTCTTGAATGCTAAGACATGACTTTCTAATTTGGAGAAATTCAGAGGCTAATATTTAAATGTCTGGATTCTTCTGCAGGTATGTGAAGTATACACACTTCACAGGGAAACATTTTATCTTGCACAAGACTTTTTTGACAGATTTATGTTGACACAAAAGGATATAAATAAAAATATGCTTCAACTTATTGGAATTACCTCATTATTCATTGCTTCCAAACTTGAGGTAAGTTCTCAAAGTTTACCTATAGTTATATTTATTCCAAATTTAGTTTTTGGGGGTTTTTTTGAGTTGGCACACTCACGGCCACCCCAGCATCAACCTGCTGGGGCTCCGGCGATCCTTCAGCCTCAGCCTTCTAAGTAACCAGAACTACTGGCATGCACTACTGCGCCGGCTAGTTTTTTTGGTTTTTTAAAAATTTTATCGTAGAGATGAGGTCTCACCAAGTTTCCTAGGCTGGTCTCGAAACTGCAGGCTCAGGCATTCCACTCGCCTTGGCCTCCCAAAGTGCTGGGATTATAGGCTGAGCCACCAAGCCTGGCCAAATTGTTTTTTAATCAACACATTAGTTCCAGAGGATATTATTATTTTTGATATTAACTCGTTAGTAAAAGTGAGCGGTTTTATTCTCCTCAGTACATCATTCTGAACATTATGAGTCTCTAGTTTTGATTCTGGGCTTAGTATCCAGGTGAAATGTTCCATGGCTCATTCTGCTAAACAAAACACCAATACTGTCTTTATACACATAATTATGGCACTTGCATTCAATAGAATGACCTTTCAAAAAAAAAATAGCCAATCAAGCAGAATGAATGCTATGTTGGTTAGAATAACGGTTTATCCAGCCTATAAAATTTCTGTTATCTGATGGTGGTGCCGTGATAGAAGGCAACTTCTTTCCTGCCTGAGATTTTTCTTAACATAATCTCAATCTTATTTTTCTTAAACAATATATTACTGATATAAATACTTTCAACTAAAATTTTTGCAGCTGGCATCATTTTGATGGTAGGATAGGGACTGTGATTACTATCCTTAAGTGTATTTCTTTCTTTCAAATATATCTTTTGAGCTTTAAGAGCTATAATTTGGCACATAAATTTGTATTTTGTTCATCCTTACCTGAAATCATACTGTGTTCCAGATACCTTTCTAGACTAAAATCCTGATCTTTAGCCTGTTCTAATTTGTGACAAGCATCTTTTCCAATCCTTTGATTGTTCTAGTTGTTCTTCTGTACTAACACAGGCCTGTTGTCAGCCAAACTGCACAATGTATGTTTTCATTAACCATATATTTTTGTACAAGGGTAAAAGGAATGTTTTTATAGTTTCTAGACTTTATTTGTTGGGTGTTTCATTTTTATCTGAGCAACATATTAGGCGATCTTAAAACAAGTTTGACTTTTTGTTTTTTCACTGAAGTGACTTGACACTCTAGTTGTTTATTAACCAAAATTCAAGTCAATTCTATGAATAGAAGCCTTGATAATCAATGTAATTGCTAATTTAGATACGAAAATCTTAAAAGTAAGATTGTTTTTGCTATAGAATTATTTTACTGACATTTACAATCACTTTGTGAAGCTGTCCTTAAAACTGAAGGCTGGTTTGTGTATACAGCCTTGTGGTTTGTATATTCAGAGCGTCCCTTACTTACCGTGGTTCAACTTATGATTTTTTGACTTTATGATGGTCCAAAAGTGATTTGCACCCAGTATGCTCATGATGGGATTATGTCTAAATAAACTGGAAATATCTTAAGTCGAAAACATACTTTCTACTTATATTTTGAACTTACCATGGGTATATCAGGACGTAGATCCATTGTAAATTGAGGAGCATCTGTAATTCTTTTAATTTCAATCTCAATTGTGCTTAATAATAAATTCCAATTTAAAGGAAATCTACGCTCCTAAACTCCAAGAGTTTGCTTATGTCACTGATGGTGCTTGCAGTGAAGAGGACATCTTAAGGATGGAACTCATTATTTTAAAGGTAGTAATTATGTCTTTATTTCTAGTTGCAATTTAGAAACATAGTAGTTATAACCAAATTTTACATACTACAATGTAAATAGTCAAAACTGAGGTGTTTTAGTGTTAGGATCCAATTCTAATAAGTTAATACATCAAAATACTGATGGGGGAGTGGGGACACAACATCAATAAGGGTACTTGACTTCAAACTAGGCAATATGGGGACCAAAGGGAGGCCCAATCTTTACCTGTACGATGACCACTTGTATACCTAAACCTGAATTGTACCCCACATCTTTAAAAAAAAAAAAAAAAAAAACGGGGTTATGGATGGTAGGAGTATTTACTTAACCTCTGAATTCTACTGTAATGTGGTACACGTGCCAACATTCATTAACAGGCATTTTAAAATTTTGTTAACAGGCTTTAAAATGGGAACTTTGTCCTGTAACGATCATCTCCTGGCTGAATCTCTTTCTCCAAGTTGATGCGCTTAAAGATGCTCCTAAAGTTCTTCTACCTCAGTATTCTCAGGAAACATTCATTCAAATAGCTCAGGTACTGACATTTTAATTGAACATATGGTAATATTATAGTTAATTATAGGTTTATTGTGTATAGAGTCTTAAACAGTCTATACAACAAAGTAATGACATACTGAATTAAATTCACTGTAATTTAGAACACAGTTTAATTCTGTAACGAAACTTTTTTTTTTTTGAGTCGCGTCTCACTCTCTCACCTAGGCTAAAGTGCAGTGGCATGCTCATAGCCACTGCAGCCTCGACTTGCTGGGCTCAGGCGATCCTCCCACCTCAGCCTTCAAGTAGCTGGAACCACAGGTGCATGCCACCACGCCTGACTACTCTAACAAAACTTTTGACACATAAAATTCTGCCTCAATGTTTATGTTGCTTAATAACTCTAGAAACAAAGTCTTTAAACTTTTATGAATACTTAAAGAGTCCAAACTTAAGAGTTAAGTATCTCTTTTTGATATAAAATTGGGAAAAGTGCTGGGCTCGGTGGCTTAGCCTGCAATCCCACCACTTTGGGAAGCTGAAGCAAGTGGATTGCCTGAGCCCACAGGTTTGAGACCAGCCCAGGCAACTTGGTGAGACTTCGTCTTTACAATAAATAAAAAATGAGCCAGGTGTGGTAGCACGCACCTATAGTTCCGGCTACTTGGAAGGCTGAGGCAAAAGGATCACCAGATCCCAGCAGATCGACGCTGGGGTGGCCTTGAGTGTGCCACTACACTCTAGCCTGGGTGACAGAGTGCGACTCCAACGCAAATAAAATAAAATGGGGAAAAGTATTTTTTAGCCAGTTGTATTTAAGCTGTAATGGCATGAAATTATTCTATATGATTCTCTTAATATGTTTATATTTGAATACACAGGGTACCTGTTCAAGTTATATATTAGAATTAAAATCATCCTATTTTTTTAAAACTTCAATTCAAATTAAACTCTAGGCCAGCATATACCAAGTATTATTCATTCATTTATCTGAGTCAGGTCTCACTCTTGCCCAGGCGGGAGTGCAGCGGCACATCATGGCTCACCTGGACACAGGTGATCCTTCCACCTCAGCCTCCCAAGTAGGCTGGAACTACAGGCACACCACTATACCCGGCTAATTTTTAAAATTTTTTTGTGTAGGCGAGGATCTGATCTGTTGCCCAGGCTGCTCTTGAACTCCTGGGCTCAAGCAATCCTCCTGCCTCAGACTCCCAAAGTGCTGGGACTACAGGCATGAACCACCATGCCCAGCCCAAATATTTAATAAAGTAACTAATTAGAGGAGGAGGATCCCATTCTTTCTTGCTTACTTCTCATAAGGCTGCTTATTTGCCATGCAGAAAAGTGAAGAAAATGATTCTAATTCTTGGTAGGATGTGAAAATCTTACATATGGAATAAAAAAAATGTGGCACTTGGGATAGAGTATCAAGTCACCTAGTTTAAAATGTGCATTTTGAAACTAGACATTATGAATACTAAAATTAAGTCACCAATAAATATATTGGAATTGGTTCATTTAGTAAAATTTTTTAATAAAGACTTAATAATTTCTTCATTTAGAATCCATAGTATCCCAAATTGTCATAGGCAGCCAGCCATACCCTTTCATAGAGAGGATACATCTTTGATAAGCTGATAAATAACCTGGAAAGAGCTTCTAGAGGTGTATAATAGTAGTATTTTACTTCCAATTCCCAACTCTTCTCCTGTTTCTACCTTCTGGACCAATGAGGACAAGCATAATTTAACTTCACTGGACAACTATCATCTCAAACCTTTGAAATCAAGCCCTTCACTTAAGCAATATACCATTCCAGTGCTACTTGTTCTGCTCTCTTATTGCCTGGATTATACTGCCTCTTAACTAATTTCACTGCTTATAAATATGTTCCCTTCTAGTCTGTTTCACTGCAGTCTAAGGTCTCTTTCTTAAAATGTAACTTTCCTGATTTAAAATTTTCTAGTAGTTTCAAGAATCAGCCTATACAGTTCTGACTTCCTAAACACCCTTTATGATCTAATCTAGACTATTCCTCTCTCTAGCCACCACCTCCCCTCTTTTTTATAAGAAATGAAGGAAAGGTACTCCTTGCTTATTTCATACTTTTCACCTTAGGAGTCCTGAACTACTGTGAACGCCAAGTAATGTTCTATACCTAGCACATTCTCTGCCTCCCAATCTCCCTGTCTGCCTTATCTTTTAAGACTCATTTAAGGCATCAGAAGCCTTCACTGTCTTTTTCAATCTGGATATGGTGCCCTTCCTGCTAGTTTGTATCACACTGCATCGCAACAGTCCTTCCTAGTCTTCCAGTTACTCCTTGACCTATAATGTCAAGATTTGACTTCCTTCTGGTTGATGGTTTATCTCTGGATCTCTAAAATCTTAGCAAGAGACATATAGTACTCATCCTTCTCCTAAATTAACTGTACTTTTGTTTTTTCTTTGTAAGCTTTTAGATCTGTGCATTCTAGCCATTGATTCATTAGAGTTCCAGTACAGAATACTGGCTGCTGCTGCCTTGTGCCATTTTACCTCCATTGAAGTGGTTAAGAAGGCCTCAGGTAAGACTCTGTATTTTGTTGTCTTCTTACCTGTTGACAACTTTTTTTTTTTTTTTAGTGGGAGTCTCACTCTGTCACCTAGGCTGGAGTGCAGTGGCAAGCCTCTATCTGCTGGGCTCAGGCAATTCTTCTGCCTTACCCTTAGTAGCTGGAACTAACTACTGGTGTGTGTACCACGCCCAGCTAATTTTTAAATTTATTGTAGCAACAAGTTCTCACCAAAGTTGCCTAGCCTGGTCTCAAACCCCTGGGCTCAGGCAATCCTTTGCCTCCACCTCCCAAAGTGCTGGGATTACAGGCCACCATGCCCAACTCTTGTTTATAACTTCTAATGGGACTGTAATCTGTGAACTTTAATGTCCTGCTAAACATGAATTTAAAACATTAGCAGAAAAAAATTTGATTATTGTCCTGTTAGAAGTATTTTCCAATCCTTGCTGTTAGCTATAAACAAAAAATAAGACCAAATGGAATTTAAATTCATTTGGAGTGTATTAATATGATTATGGTTCTGTTTTAAGAGTTCTTTGGGATTTGACAATATTTGTTTCATATGTACAAAGTGCTAGTTAAGAAGTTCTTGGTCGGGCACAGTGGCTCAAGCCTGTAATCCCAGCACTTTGGGAGGCTGAGGCGAGAGGAATGCCTGAGCCCACAGGTTTGAGACTAGCCTGGGCAGCTTGATGAGATCTCATCTCTACAATAAATCAAAAAATTAGCCAGGCGAGGTGGTACGTACCCATAGTTCCAGCTACTTGGAAGGCTGAGGTGGAAGGATTGATTGCCTGAGCCCAGCAGGTCTAGGCTGCAGTGGCCTGAGCGTGCCCTTGCACTCCAGCGTGGGTGACAGAGTGAGACTCCTACTCAAAAAAAAAAAAGTTCTTAAGTTCTTTTATCCTTCAAGATAGTCATGTTATAAGCATAATGTGAAAGTAATCATTTGTTTTGATTTGCTAAACTTGACTCTGATTTGTTTTGGTGTCTTTTAAAAATGAATTTTAAAATAACTACCTCAAAATGTAGAAGCAGGAAGAAATACATCAGGCATATGTAAGACAGTTGTCTATGTACAACCTTCACATTTTTGTTTTTTCTATCTAGGTTTAGAATGGGACAACATTTCAGAATGTGTAGACTGGATGGTGCCATTTGTCAATGTAGTAAAAAGTGCCAGTCCAGTGAAGCTGAAGACTTTTAAGAAGATTCCTATGGAAGACAGACATAATATCCAGACACATACAAATTATTTGGCTATGCTGGTATGTTTTTTGGTCTTGCTTGTGTATCTACTAAATTTAGAATACTATGGAATACTACTTCAGGCAGTCATATAAGATGGTAAGGGGAAAGAAAATACTAATGGGCACAATGATCTAAAAATGTAGAAGAGTTAATAAGATTACTCTGAAGAAAAAGCAAGATCTGTTAAGTGTCTAAAGATCAATGCCAATAGTCTAGATAAATCTAGGTATATATAGTACATAGAAACAAATACACACACACATTACTGGCAGTTCAGATTGTTGAACCTTCAGGATATAAATACTCACAGCTATAAAGACATAAAGAGACCACTATATTAGGCCTGAATAAGTACCCTGGTTTGACTCTGTTTTACTATATCAATGCATGATTTCTCCACATGTATAGGATGAAGTAAATTATATAAGTACTTTCAGAAAAGGAGGACAGTTGTCACCAGTGTGCAATGGAGGCATTATGACACCACCGAAGAGCACGGAAAAACCATCAGGAAAACACTAAAGAAGTTAACTAGGCAACAAGTTGGAATTCATCAAGTACCAAGTGGAGTTTGAGTTAACTGAACTACTAGTTTTACAGGAAAATGGTGCTGTGATTATCCTAGCCAACTCAAGTTACACTGCCATTCTTTGACTTAAAAACTTAAAATTGGCACTAAGGAATAAATTTAATTAATTCCTATGTTAGCTGTTAAAGAAACAGCAGGACTTGTTTACAAAGATGACTTCATTCCCAGGATAGAAGCCAGCCATGATTTATGCCATAAAAACTCTTTTTTTTTTAAATCCAGCGAGACTATGTTTATCTTGATAAACTAGGAATTTTATCATTGAAGTTTCGGACTAGATAAGTGCTTTAAGGTTAAAGGGTACATTAAGTGATATAGTACTTTGAATCTAGCTTTTAGATTCTCAAAATTCCTACACTCTTGACTAGTGCAATTTGGTTCTTGAAAATAAAATTTAAACTTGTTTACAAAGGTTTAGTTTTGTAATAAGGTGACTAATTTATCTATAGCTGCTATAGCAAGCTATTATAAAACTTGAATTTCTACAAATGGTGAAATTTAATTTGTTTTTTAATTAGCTTATTTGCCTTGCCATAACACTTTTTAATCAGTAAGACTTAGAGGAACCTGGTATTTAACCCGTGCTCTAAACAGTGGGAGTACCAAAGAAATTACAAACAAGATAAATGCTGTGGCTCCTTCTATGTGGGGGCTTTGTTTGACATATAGGTTGCTTTATAGTAACTTTTTTGTACATCACAATTTGGGTGAAAAACTTAAGTACCCTTTCAAACTATTTATATGAAAAAGTCACTTTATTACTCGAAGATATCCCTAAGGATTTTTAAAATTTAGTGTGACTAAGGCTTTATTTATGATTGCAAAACTGTTAAGGTCCTTCTTAAATTCCTACATTATAAGGGCAGTGTCAAAGTGATAAAGCTTAACACTTGACCTAAACCTCTATTTTCTTAAGGCAGAAGAATATTAAATGTATACTGATTCCTAGAAATCTATTTATTAAAAAAGAAAAAACTTGACACAAAAACTTGCTGTATACAGGCTAGCTACTGCTCCATAAATATTTTAAATTAGTCTTTCTTAAGAAAAAAAGTCAGCCTCAAAAAGTAGACTTAATTAAAAAACAAATACTAGATTGTTAGTTCATCTTGTTACCAGACATGTGAATCTCTTCCTTCCTTCGAAGAAACTATAAATTTAAGCTATTCTTATGGTATGAAGTTTTCTGTACAGTTTTTGTTTTTAAACTAATATTTCACCATTTTATCTGAAAAGAAAACACCACTAAGTATGTATATATGTATTATATAAACTTAATTTTTTAATACTGTTTATTTTTAGCCCATTGTTTAAAAAATAAAAGTTAAAAGATTTTAACTAACTGCTTAAAAGTAAAGTTTTGCCATTGCTTGGAGAAACTTTTTTTTCCTTCTCTGCGCTGCCAGCTGTAACACTTCTTCTGGGTTGCTTGCATTCAATTCTGTCTGGCCAATGGCTTTGATCTTCCAAAACAGAAAAGTGATGTTATTAGAGGTTTGGTCAAAAATAAAGTCTTTCTGGTACACATAATATAAAGCTACCTACATGCTAACACTGATAAAGTTAGTTTAATGATTAACTGAACCTCTAATTGTAAAATCCAAGAGTTGTGGAAAAAATTCACATAAAGATTGACTATAGCCACTCTTAAGGAAAAGATGAACTGCTAGCCTTAGTTTATGGTATTATCTTCAGAGGCATTTTAAGTGAATCCATGTACACTTATCTGACTGAAATCAGTAAGTAAGCTTTACATGGTAATTAGACACAACACATTTTTAAAATTAAGGTGCCTACAAAATAGTTTGAAAAATCACAATTCATGTTTCAGGGCTTCCTAAACCCTTTTTTTCCCCTTCCCCCTTTAACAGACAAGATCTTGCTTTGGTACCCATGCTGGAGTGCAGTGGCACAATCACAGCTCACTGCAGCTTTGAACTCCTGGGTTCAAGTGATTTTCCCACCTTAGCCTCCTGAGTAGCTAGGACTACATGCGTGAACCACCATGCACAGTTAACTTCTTTTACTTTTGTAGAGATAGGGTCTCACCATGCTGCCCAGGCTGGTCTCAAATTTCCAGCCTCAAGTGATCCTCCCTCCTTCAGCCTCTAAAAGTACTGAGCCACCACACCTGGTCTAGGGCGTCATCTTTTTAATGTGTAAAATTAGTTGCTCAGCACTAGAATAGCATACTAGTGGCTCAACTTGTCATGATTAGAAAGAAGTGCCTTAACCTCCTAAATATACACATTGGTTTTCTGCTATGGAGTATTTATTTATTTACTTATTTATTTTGAGTCAAAGTCTCACTGTTGCCCAGGCTGGAGTGCAGTGGCACACTCACAGCTACTGCAGCCTCGACCTACTGGGCTCAGGTGATCCTTCCACCTCAGCCTTCCAAGTAGCTGGACTCAGTGTCCCCATTCCCAAGACTGTAGCATCCATGAGCACAGGAGCTGGCCAGTCTTTTTTTCTGGTTTATCCCAAGCATGTTAAGAGGCAAGGAAGATACTGAGAATGGAAAAGTAGAAAGAGGACAGGGTGCTTACCAGGGGAAGGTCTAAAATAGAACCTGAAAAGAATGCAGACCACTGATTAGTGGCAGATAAAATGATCAAAAGAGCTGAGGGTTTAGCTAAAGTTGGAGACTGTGGTTTAGTAGCGGCACCAGTTTGTACTGGTGGCCCAGTTGTAGGACTGTTTCCAACAGGACTCAGTGGCCCAAGAAAATAAAATGAACAATTTCCTGAACTTATTCAGGGTTAGGACTCTCCCAGGTGAGGTAAAGGACAAAAAAGCAAAGGTGCAGAAAATACTGGTCTAAGAGTAGTTGTGTCACAATCATAGTTAGCAGGGGTTCCCAAACCTGGTTCATCATCAGACTATCTGGAAAATTTGGATTCCAGGGTCCCACCTCAGACCAGCTGAATCAGTAGCTCTGAGAGCACACAGACTGGTATCTGCTGTACTCGGGGTGAGGAAGGAAGCAAAGGAAGATGGAGGGGGCTAACAGAACAGAAAAAAAACTGGTCATAAACCTGAACACCTCATTGATCATGAGGAGCTCGGGAACAAGAAGTTGGAGGAGGATAGATTATTGGCAGATAGTGGGCTACAGTAGAAGACCTTATGTAGAATAATTTTGGTCTCTGACAACACAAACTACTCTTTGACAAAACTACTCCAAGTGGAACTAGCCTGCATGTTCTTTTTCCTTTAAAAAAATAAAAATAAAAAGGGTGCTATTATTGTTTCTTTTAAACAATGGGTATAATTGTTAAAGTGATTGAAAAAGCAAAGAAAATATCTTTGGTGATACTGAAGGGGCAATTATTAGACAAGTAAAAATGGCCATAAACTTTACAATTTTTTGGCTATGAGTAATTCATCTATTCAGTAACTCTTGAGACTCTTATTATGTGCCAGGCACCATTCTAGGTACCAAGTATGACAAAACCAAGTCCTTACCCTCATGGGGAAACAGACAATAATAAATAAGTAAATATATACTGTTCATAAGTGTTATGGAGAAAAATCTTAAAAGGAAAATGAGAATAAGAGTACTGGAGGGGAAAGAAAAGCAGGAATTGTCACTTTATAAGATGGTTAGGAAAAGATGATCACTAAGAAGGTAACAACTAGCTGGGCTCAGTGGCTCAGCCTGTAATCCTGCGCTTTGGGAGGCTGAGGTGAGTGGATTGCCTGAGCCCACGGGTTCGAGACCCGCCTGGGCAGCGAGACCTCATCTCTACAATAAATCAAAAAGTAGCTGGGCGTGGTAGCATATGCCCATAGTTCCAGCTACTTGGAAGGCTGAGGCAGAAGGATCGCCGGAGCCCAGCAGGTCGAGGCTGCGGTGGCCGGGAGTGGCCACTGCACTCCAGTCTGGGTGACAGAGTGAGACTCCAACTCAAAAAAAAAAAAAAGAAGGTAACAACTGAGGAAGAAGAGACCTGAAGGAGGCTGGATGTTTCTGGAACAGAATGTCAAAGGCCCTTAAATGGTGACTGTTCTTGACATGTTCAAAGAACAACAGGGAGTACTAGTGTAGCAAAAGTTAGCAAGGGGGAAAGTCAGATGGGCTAGAAGCTGTAATATGTGGCTTGGCAGGCTGTTGTACTCATTTGAGCATTTGGAGCAGAGAGAAATGACATGATCTAACATTCTAAAATACAAAACGGTGAGATGGAATAGCTCAAATGATCAAAAAAGGATCCTTTAAAAAGTAAACACTAATAACTAAATTCTGGCAGTCCTTAGGCACACAAAATCTTTTTTGTTGTTGTTGGTTCAAATCTTAATTGTTCAATATACTGGAAACTATATCACTGAAGAAAGGTGTAAGGTGACTTACTGCAATTTGTCTTTTATCTGTTTCTCCTCTTTTATGATGAAGATCTAAATGAATCAGTTAAGAAAAAACAAATCTGATATTAACTATCATGAGAGAATCTCAACTGTTTTTCAGTTTTGATTTGGAAAGTACACAACAGTAAATACTCTTTATAATTTACAGAAATGAATTGTTCTAACTTCACATACTCTGATGAAAGGATACAAGTCAAGTATTCCAAAATGGTAACATCCCATATGTAGTCATAGTAGGAGTCCATAGCATCATGACTAAAAAAGAGAGTTCAGTTACTTCCTCTTTCTTAAGCAGAAAAATTTCAATTTCAATATTTTTTAAAAAAAAACATACCTGTTTTGTTCTTGTAGTGATTTAAAGGCTGTCTTATAGTCAATTTCTCTGAGGAACTGACATAAAATTGCCACCTACATAAACAAAAATTTGACAATAGTTTTATGTAATGACAGCTCGGCTGGTTTTAGAGGGTAATCTTTAATTATTCTCACATGAAGAATATACTCTTTAAGAAGCCTTGTAAATCACGCTGAATGGATCAGCTCATATTTATGAATTCCATCCAATTTTAATTTCAAAAACTTTCATTCAAGTGTCTGACCAATATTTTCTTCCTCAGTGACGTAACCAGATTTTTAGAGCTTTATTTGGAAAAGTTGGCAAAAAGTCAGTTCAGAAAACTGAACTGAAGGGAATAAAAAATGGCCAAGCAAAAGTGTCATAACTAGCTGGTTGTGGTGGTACATGTCTATAACCCCAGCTATTCAGGAGGCTGAGATGGGAGGATCATTTGGGGTCAGAAGGTTAAGGCTACAGTGAGCCATGATCATGCCACTCCAATCCAGCTTCGGAAACAAGAGTGAGACCCTGTTTCAAAAAAAAAAAGGCAGGGTCTTATGACTCATGCCTGTAATCTCAGCACTTCAGATAAGCCGAGGCATGAGGAATGGTTGAGCCCAGAAGTTTGAGACCAGCCTGGGCAACAAATGAGATCCCACCTCTACAAAAAATAAATTGCTAAGTATGGTGGCACATGCCTGTAGTCCTAGCTTCTCGGGGCTGAGACAGAAGGATAGCCTGAACCCAGATGTTGAGGCTGTGGTGAGCCATGACTGTGCCACTGCACTCCAGCCTGAGCAACAGAGTGAAATACCAACTCAAAAAAAAAAAGAGTGTTTTAACATACAAAACAAGCAAAACAGAAGTTCATTTTGGATAACCTTAGGCTACCAGTGTGCTTAATGTAGAAAATAACTAAATCAATCAGGTCATACCTTTCATCTCTTTAAAAAATATTTTTAATTGATATAGTTCACAAGCCATAAAAGTTACCCTTTTAAAGTACATGAGTTTTATTCACAAAGTTGTAAAACCAGCACCATTATTTAATTCCAAAACATCTTCATTACCCTTCTGCCCCCCAAAAACTCCATACCCATTAGCAGTCACCCTCCATTCTCTTTCCTCTTAAGCCTCTGGCAACTACCATTTTACTTTCTGTCCCTATAGGTTTGCCTGTTCTGGGCACATCACATGAATGGAATCATACAATATGTAGCCTTTTGTGTCTAGCGTTTTTTACTTAACATAATCTTTCAAAGTTTATTCATGTTGTAGCATGTGTCAGTAGTTAATTCCTTTTCATGGCTGAATAATATTTTACTGTATGGATATACCACCTTTCGTTTAGCCAGTCATCATTAGCCATTCCTAATATCGTCACAGATATTAGGATTGTTTCTACTTTTCAGCTTTTAAATAATGCTGCTATGAACACTCGTGTACTTTTTTCTGTGGACAGGTTTTCTATTATGTATATACCTAGGAGGAGAACTGCTGGACGATATAATTCCTATGTTTAGCTTTTTGAGGAACTGGCAAACTGTTTTCATGAGGCTGCACCATTTTATGTCCTTACCAGCAACATATGAAGGTTCTAATTTCTTCATATTCTCACCAGCACTTCTTATTAGATGTGTTTTGATTATAGT